ATAGGGAATTCCAAAGGACACACTGACAAAGGAGATTAATCAGAACTGGCTTTGACAAGCACTGTGGCAACTGGACAATTAAAACAGACTTTCAAGGGGAGAAAAAAAAAAGAACGAACTGGGGAGGAGGGTAGAGAAAATAGTGCAACAATGAATGAATGAAAACCCCAAATCTCTGTAAATGTTCATTAAAATTAATAAAAGTTAATTAAAAAAAAAACCTGAAAAACTTCTTGAAACAATTGAGAATGAAAACACAACATACCAAAATCTTTGTAACACATAGAAAGCAGTGTTCAGAGATCAATTTATGGCAATAAACACACATATGAAAAGAGGAAAACTAAAGCCAATACATTAATTCCATTCCTCCAACAATCAGAAAATGTAGCATACAGGATCAAGTCTCCATAAAGTTCTTCCAGCTTGAAAATGCTTTCCCTTTTGGTTTTCTAACTCTTGGTCTTTGCCTCATTTTAAATTTTGTTGTTGTTGTTGTTGTTAGAATGTTTGCTTTGTCTTCTGGAGTGTAATTTCTGTTTAGCTCTTTTATTTCATCACTTCTGCTTTTGCTTTAGCTTCTCAACATTAAACAGCAAATGTCAGAGTCTCTTCTAACATTTCTTTTTCTCTCCTATCTTGTAATGACTTTTTGCTTTCTTCATTTATGATGTCCTTCAATAATTCACCTGATTTTTTTCAGTCATTAGTAATTAGTAATTAGTGTAATGTATTGAATATATTTGGTTATTTATTCTAAAGGACTAAGGGATGCAATAAAAATAGATTTTTGGAATCTACACATAACTGCAACATTATTGTAACAGCAAAGATATGGCAATAGCCCAAGTATTTATCAATGAATAAGTGGATAAAGATCTAGCAATTATTGTGTTAAATAAGTCAGTTACAAAAGGACTATCATATGTGTTCACTGTTTAAAAAAGCTAAAGAAAGTTTTCTACATAGAAAGAATAATTTTGTTACCAGAGATATGAAGGGCAGGAGAAGTAGATAAAAATTACTAAATAGTTAAGTCACATATTCACATGGGTGAAGTGAAGGGCAATATATAGTAAGAACATTATCAACACAGTATTACTAAAGAAAGTGAAGACATACAGAGATACACAAGAAATAAAGTCAACAAAATATACACTTGTTTTTATAATCCTGCAATAATAAATGTTAATCTATAAGCAGATATACAGAAAAAAAATGTAAGAAAACATACATGGACAGTTGAAAGAACTACATTCACGGTTGATATCTATATTGATATTGATGTTGTTGTTAAGTACCATCAGGTCAGAACCAACTGACAACTAACCCTCAAGGAGGTTTTAGAGGCAGTAAATTGCATGGGAGTTGACTGCTCACCTTTCTGCCCCTGAACATCTTTTGGATCTGGTAGATCCAAATAGCGTGTTTTGGGATTAGCAGTGGAACTCCTTACCACTAAGCCACCAGAGCTCCTGCATTAGTACAAACTATATACCGCTAATTCATTAAATGTTGTTGA